GCACGGCAGCATAAAGCGAACGCGTTTCGACAGACGGTGGTATTCTGGACAGATGGATTCCGCAAATGCCATTTCCAATCGAGTGCATAATCATCGATCGCCTTTTGTCGGCATGACATGAGCATGAAGGATTTCAAGATCAACAGATTCCTCATACAGCATCGGCAGATCTATCAAGCAAAAATGTAGCCGAACGGGTGGCGGCGATCCTCTGCCTCAATTGCCTCTCTTGTCATCTTGCCCTCTCCGTCGCACAGCAGTCCAGTCTTGCTTTGTTCTTCCTATTCAGTCAGAAGTGATTCTGCGCTGCCAACAGTCGGAAGTCCTTAGACGACAATAATAAACATCGTCAACGACACGAAGCTAAAAACAGATGCGCTGAGATTCACGAGTGGTTCATCGGGAGAGGAACTAATGACCCTTTGGTCATCATTCAATGATCAGTCATCTGCAAGTGAAACGGCGTCAAATGTAGGACATAGCGATGACGATTGGAGAGGGGACATAAAAACAGGGAACACTGAGGAAGGATTGTGTAAAACACATCACCTCTCGGTAAATGTCAATGACGATTAAATGGCACTGATGCGAATCGACGGCCGGTATTCGCGCAGGTGATGGCCACACCGCGTTAAAACAGTGGCAGAACTGAGGTAGCCAATGAAATCAATGACTTCCTCAAGGAACTGACAGACAGAGGACGTGAAGGGGGAGCATTTCGCTTACACTCCTATGTTCGGACTTGACTTTCATCGACCGACATACACCTCAACGACCATTCGCCGTCGCTGACACGAACACCGCCATGTGACATCCTTGGCCACGCTAGGCCGGCCTCTCAACGGCCAATAAATCAACGCGAAGATGATTAATCTGAATCGATCGTACTGGACACCGTTTCCTCCCAGTCGCCGTTGTCCATTCGTGGCCATAACTGGGACAGCAGAGGAGCGGACTCATACATAGGCTCGTCGTTCGCCTCGCTACTCACCTGTTGCTGCCTGTCACTTTTCTTGCGTAGATTTCCATTTCCT